AAAAAAAAAGACAACACTTGTTATTTCATTGAACATGAGTAACACAGAAACTACTAATAGCGATGCAAATATTTTGGAATCAATCGCCACACTTAAAAATGAGTCGAACTGGGATTTAAATGCTCAACAACTGACTGATGAAAATATAAAAATCCTTGTAAAAGAACTACAATCAAATAAAAACTGTAACGTACTCCACCTACACTTAAACAACATTACTGATGATGGTGTTTCGTACCTTGCTGAAATGCTAAAAGTGAACCAAACAATCACAGATCTGTACTTGGGTGCCAATAATATTAGTGATCGAGGAATGATAGAATTGTGTCAAGCACTTAGTCACCAAAATAAAACACTTATAGTCGTTGATCTAACATACAATCAAATTACGGATGAAAGTGTCGATATGATATTAGATCTATTTAAAATAAATAGCACATTAGCGGGACTCATGTTGGTTGGCAATACTATATCGGAAGAAAACAAGGACAAACTACGCGCAGCCGCTGAAGTGAGAGATATTAATTTGGGTGTCAGTTTCTGACAATTTTATTTTTCTTGATAATAAAATGAACATCTTGTTCTCTATTATAAAAAAAACAATAAAATCGACTCGCTAACATGTCGAACAAAAAATGAATCAAGTAATAATTACATAATCAATAAGTACAATAGTGACAACACTCACTACATCTGTTAAAAGATATTCATATCCTATATTTTATAATTCATCATTTCTTTGATTAAAATCAATATTTAGTTTTTTGTTTAATTTAATAAAATAAATGTATGTTCTCTTTTTGTCTATTCATGCACATCAATATCGTCGATGAACATATTATTTTATCAAAATTGCTTAGCGATCAATGAACTGTGAAAAAAAAGTGCGTCATGATAAAATACTTCATAGCTCTTTCGTTTTATTTTATTTGACAAATAATTCTACAATGATATTATCAAGAATGATTCGAAAATCTTATCGAATAACATCGATGAGGTATAGAATTCATTGTCGAACAATTATTTTATGTATTTGTATTTGTATAATATTTATTTTATATTTATTGTCGAATTCAAATAATTCAATTGTTACAGATAATGTAAATAAAACAACTTCAAAATTTCAATGTGATATTTCATTAAATTCTTATAAAATATGTTTAAAATATTCTAATGATATAACACATAATAAAGAAATTTCCAATGGAATTGAAACATATCTTATGTTAAAAAAAGAAAATGAAACATTAGTAAATCAATCAACTTATTGGAATGAAGATGATCGTTATAAACCATTTACAAAATTAATATCAACATCAATAGATTCATCATGTCAAATTATTTATTGTGGTGCAAATGAATTTGGAACAGACGGTTTACATTTAATTCGACAGAATAAAAATTGTCAAGTTTGGTTTTTTGAACCAATTCCAATATTTTATGATAAATTAATTCATTCAAAAGAAATTCTAGAAATATTAAAAACTGGTAAACATCATTTATTTAATATTGGTTTATCAAATAAAACACAAATTATTCCAATAACATTAAATGATATTAAAGAATCACAAGCTTTATCTCTCGTTAATATATTAAATAAACATGAAAAGATTGATAAAGTTTTAAAATATGAAATTATTCTTCGAGATATTTATGAAATCTTATTTGAATTTAATTTTTTATTAAAAACAGAAACGATAATAAATGGTGAATTAAATTTATTACATATGAATTGTGAAGGTTGTGAATATGATGTTATTGAAAGATTATACGAAACAAATTTAATAAAATATATTCGAATTATTCAATTTGCTTCCCATAGATTAAATTCTTTACGTCAAATAATTAATCATAAATATTGTTGTTTACAACAATCTTTAACAAATACACATAAATTAATATTTAGTATACCTTGGGCTTGGGAAAGATGGATTAGATATGATCTTATTTAATATTTTATTATTATTAAAAAAGAAAAAACAAAACTACTAGACTAATGTTCTATTTGTTTATTTGATTTTGATCAATTGGAGGTCCAATTGTAATTCCACCAGCTAATGATGAATTAACATGACTATTTGATTGACTTGATTTTGAATTCTCTTCTGTAGATGTAGATGTTTTACAACCCATTTCAAGTAATTTTTCATTTGCAACATCACTTCCTTTTTCAGGAATTGAAGAACTCATCTTCGTAATATATTCTAGAAGGAAAAACAAGAGAATAGATAAATATATTTGTAGCCATTGAGATCTATCGATTATCCGAGAGATGGATGCCATCTATGTTTTTTTCAATTAAAGAGATGAATGCATTTTGAGAGACCTCTATATAAAAATTGTAATGACAATATTGACACAGTGTCTCATAAGAGTAACATGACGTCAAATTTACTTTTTATTTCGAAATATTTAAGAACTAGAAATGCATTCAGAGTTAACAACGGATTTATCAATAATTCTTTCAAATTTAAATAATGTTAAATCAAATGGCAAAGAAAATGTTGTTTTATTAAAAACAGGTTCATTAAATCCAATTCATCGATCTCATATATCAAATATGATTCAAACAAAAAAATATTTAGAAGAAATTTATAATTTCAATGTTATTGGAGGATATTTATCACCAACACATGATCATTATGTTGGAAATAAATTAGGAGATGAACTTCTTCATGGTCAATTAAGAATTGAAATGTGTCAAAATGCTATTCAAGAAGAAAATCAACAACATTGGTTAACTGTTGATAAAGCTGAATGTTTAGCTTCAAACTTTATTAATTTAAATAAAGTTGCATCAAGTCTTCAAATGTTTCTTAATGAAAAAATCAGATTAGATAAACCAATAAAAGTGATTTATGTTGCTGGTTTAGATTTATTTAATCGTTGTAAAGGAATGAATGGTTTAAGACAAGGAACGATGGGTGGTGTTGCTGTTGTTTATAGATATGGACAAGATAAATCACTTATTCAATCATTTATCAAGGAGAATACTCGTAAACTTTATTTTATTTCATTAGATGGAGATAATATTCAAAATGATATTAGTTCAACATTAATTAGACAAAAACTAAAATCAAATGAGGATTGTTCGCATTTAACTTATAATTCTGTTTTACAACATTTACAATTTGATTCTCGGATTTAATATTTTATTGATTTTCAATAGAGATTTTTCAAAAAAAAAGAGGTGGAAGAAAGAAAGGAGAAAAAGGAAAAAAGTTCAAATAAAATCAATTGAGAATGAATTATTTTGGAAGTAGAGCTTTACAATCAGCAGCATCTCTTTCATCACAAAGAGCTGCAGCATCTTTGTCTTCCTTATTTTTAATTGTTGCATCTGCTTTAGCATTAACAAGTGATTTAACAATATTTGGTTTATTAAAAAAACAAGCAACCATTAATGCAGTATTGCCTCTTTGATCTTGACAATTTAAATCTAAACCAGCTTTTATTAATATATCAACACATTGAGGACTATCAACCATTCCTATTTATAGAAATAAAAAGAAAATAATTTGATTTTAATAACAAATCAAAACAAACCAGCAGCAGCAAAATGTAAAACAGATCCACCAGTTTCATTTTTCACATCCTTTTCTGTTGCTGGATAATCAACTAATCTTTGTAATATTCCATCCCGATTTTGTCTTGCAGCAATACTAATTGCTCTTTCACCAAGAAAAACAGCATTTGGGTTAACTTTCGCTTCAATTAATGCATCTAAACATTCTGGCCGATCATTTATAGCAACTTTATGAACTGGTGTTAATGAATGTTTATCAGGATGATTAACATCAGCACCTTTTTTAACCATTTCTCGTATAAGATCAGCTCGTTGTTTTTCAGTTAATGTTTGACCTTTATAGGGTCCATCAACAAGTATATGAATTCCAGTTAAATTATGTTCACTTTCAGTTTGATTTGGATCAGCACCATTATCAAGTAAAAATTTAATTGTATCATAATCTCCTTCAAAACAAGCAATTATCAATGGTGGAACTTGAGCTCTTGATTCACCACTTTTTTCATCATAAATATCAACTACTTTCGAAGCTGAACTTTTTGAAACAGCTTCTTTTAATTTAGATAATTTCGCATCTGATGAAGCTGATCGATCAATACTCCAAATTGCTTTTAAAACATCATCATGTTTATCATAATGTGGGTGATCTTGACGACTAGATTTAATGTAACGAAAAAATAAAAGAAAGAAAGAAAGAAGAAAATGTTTTACCTCATTATTGTTATGGATAAATAAAAAATGTAATGTACGAATATATTTGGTTAGATTTATTTATATGTCGGATAAATAATAAAATCATTGTAGCGTAACGTTAGAAATAAATATTATTTTTCTTCGTCGTTATATTAATCTGATTTAGTTGAAGGTGTTGAATATTATTCATAAGTTATTCATGGTCATTAATATCTATTTTACCTTGAAATATTTTCTTATTTCGATCTGATTAATAGATATTTCAATCTTGTTTTTGTACTTCTTTACCTTCTATGACGTCTTTTAATTTAATGAATTTTATTTGAAAAAGAAAAACGAAACGAAAAGAAAAGAAAAAAAGAAAAGGAAAATAATGACAAAGTATGTCAAACTAAGGATTAAGTTTTATTTTATTTAAATAGAATTCAATTGGATTTATTTGTTGATTTCGATCTCCATAAATCATCTGATGATTGTTGTTGATTATAAAAATAACATTCAGATCCTTTCAAATAGATAAATAAAGAAATAAATTAAAGAAAAGATTTTTATTAAAATAATTTACTATTTAATGTTTCAAATGATGGTAATGGAGTTGAATTTATAACAGGTGTTAAATCTGTATAAAGTGTATTTGCTTGTTGTTGTTGTTGTTGCTGTTGTTGTTGTTGTTGCTGCTGCTGTTGTTGCTGTTGTTGTGGGGATTGTCTTTGAAAATGAATTGATTCTTGTCTTGAATTATCTAAATCAGTTGGACTTGAAGATGTTGATGATGAAAATAATTGTGGATAATTTAATAAAATCATGGATTTATTATTTAAATTATTATCTTTAATTAAAATAGTTGATTCATCTTTATTTAATCTTTCATCTCTTTGATTTTGTAAAATAGACATTTGTTCAAATGAAATTAATGATTGAGGTGATAATGATATTCTACTATCAACAAGAATTGGTGTTGAATTTGAACAAATTACATTTGGATTCGATTCAATTGAATAGATTTCATGAGAATTCGAACAATAATATGACGATTGATTTGGCCATTGATGATTTCTTACACTATCAAAATAATGCTAAACAAAAGAAAATAGTTTGTTTCCTTTTTAAGAAGAAAAGAAAATCTTACTCGAATAATTTGTTCATCAAGTTGTGTTCTTTGTTGTATTTCATCCATTTGAGAGAAATCTGCAAATGGATTTTGTTGATAAAAATTTTCTAAAATCGATGCTTTTTCTTCTTCAACTGTAATTAATATTGAATCAGCTAAAAAAGAAAAGAAAAGATTCTTTGTCTATTAAATAAGAAGAAGAATAAATTCGTACGTGAATCTTTTTGATAAATATTCTCTTGATGATTCCATGTCGTTTGAAATTGTTGTTGATAATTTTGATCTAAATGAATCGAATCACTTGAATTCGTTGATGAATGACATTCATTTATTCTTCCATTTGTTTCCCGACTTGATCCTTCTTCCATTTTATTTGAACAACATTTTTCAGCTTTAGTTCGAACAATTCGATTTATTGATGAAACTGAAGGTGCCGTTTTTTCATCACAAATCCCATCATTAATTAATTTTGATTTAATTTCCCAAGCAAACATTGTTGGTTGAGCTTTTTTATAATTTGTAATTGCATTAATGACTTTTGGTGTTGCTACTTTCGGTTTTGATCCTCCAATAACACCTGGACGTATTGAACCTGTTTGAAGATATCTTCCAAGAATTTTAGAAACACATCCATGAGAAACTTTTAATTGTCTTGATATATCACATGGACGAATTCCTTGTTGATTTAAAGCAACTATTTGTTGTCGAACAACATCAGGTAATGGACGACCATTTACAAATAAACCTCCCAATTGATTTATTCCACCATGACCTATGATTTTTACGAGACGAGAAGAAAAAAAAGGTGAATTAGAATTAAAAAAAAAAGAAACAAACCATCTTCATTTGAATTATCTTTCGATGATTGTCTTGTTATCCCTTAAATTTGAAAATGCAAATATGAAAAAGTAAGTAGAAAATAGAAGAGACTTACGTCGTCTCTGATTTAATTGTGATCTTGAATGAAATTGAATATCTGATGTATTTCGATGAGAATTACAAGAATTGTCCAATGAGAATCTTTTTGAATCATAATTTATCATTAAATTATCATTTATAAATTCATCATTATCAACCATTCTAAATTTGATAACATTTTTTTTCTTTTTTTTTTTTCTTTTTTATTTCTTTTGTTTTTTGTTTTTAAAATTAAATTTCAGAACTTCAGAATGTATATTTAATTAAAATAAATTCTTTGAGAAAAATCATTCAAAATAAAGAATAAATTGTGAATTTGTGCTCTACTGGTCATGCGAATCGAAGAAGATCGCCCACGGCTCAACGTGTAGAAGAATCGATTTCTTACCTATCGTCCCTTTCTAGCTTCCTTCGTCGTCGTCGTCGTCGTCGTCGTCCTCGTCGTCGTTCGTCGTCACAGATCAATGCTTTTACTTTTCATCAATAAGAGATATTTTATTCTTCATCAAATATTTTCTACCAATCAATACATTTTTCTTATCATGACGAAGAGAAAAAAAAACGGAAAGATAAATTTTACATATTTCTCTCGAATGTTCCTACAATATCAAATATATATCAAACAATCATTGGTTGATTATTATCTTTTTCTTTTTCTTTTTCTTTCACTCTCTCTCCTTCTCTCTCCCACCACCTACCTACCTACCTACCTTCATACATTCATATTCATATTGATGATGATAGATACATATTTCATTTCGTTTCGTTTCATAATTGCATAATCATTCTTTTTCTTTTTTCTTCTTTTTCAAATTCAATAAAAGAGAAGAAAAGGAGAAAAAGATGATCTATATTAAGATAATCTTCTATCCTAAAGGGTTAAATAACACATTTAGTTTGTCATTTTATCACCTTTTATTATAAAATCATATTTTATTTATGATCTTTATCTTTTATTTGAAATGTATGAATTTATTGAATTAATTGTATATATATATTTATATTTATATAATAAAGATTAATTAAAAAGATATTTGTTGAATATGATTCAAGTAAAAAAAAAAAGAAAACAAAAGAAAAGAAAAAAGATTTGACATATTCAATTGATTAATAGAAGAAGAAGAAGAGATTTACCATGAACTCATTTTATTTAATGCCATAAAATAAATCTGACATGACGAACCATTTCGAATTGATGAAAAAAAGACTTTTTCATTTTTTTCACATAAATATCTTTTAAAAACAAAAGAAATTTATTTATTCTTTCATTGAAAATAAAAGTCTTACTTTAATTTTTGAGCTCTTTTATGCATAAAAACTCCATCTAATGTTGCTGAATCTACATTTCGAATTTCAATCGCTTTATTTCCCCATCCCATTACTTTTCCATTACTTATATAAGCTAAATAGAGAAAATAAAAATTTCAAATAAAATGAAATAAATTCAACTAACCAACAGATGTTGGTAATTCTCCCCATTGTAATAAAATATCTTTTGTTCTTTTTCCATATGTATCACAATAAACTCCTTCATCTAAAAGAAATTTATTTAAATAAATAAATGAAATAGTTGAAATCTATAAAATACTATTATAACAAAGAAGAAGTTGCATTCCATTTGTATTTGGTAAAACAATAATTGCATGTGGTTCAACTGAATCATTGAATTGTGAAGGTAAATAAATATCAATTTGATTTGATGTATCAAGATCAATAGCATGAAAACCATATGATGATCCATAAATAACTTTTAAACGTGAACCTTCTTCAATTGTTAAATCAACTAATAATGGACGATATGGTAATTGATTAAATACTTTAAATGTCATAAATTTATGATAAGGTTTTGGTGCCCATGCATAAACTTCAATTGAATCATATAATGCAACGATTAAAAATTTGATTCGTTCATATTTTACAATTTTAAAATGTTTAGCACCTTGAAGTTCTCCAAGATTAGTAAAATGATTTCTTTTATTATCATTTGTTTGTGTTTTAACAATTTTATTTTTTAAAAATGATAAATAATAAAGACGAATTTTATTTTTTTTTCCACTTATTGTTAATAAAATATTTTGAGATTCTAAAACATTTAATTGTTCAAATCTTCGTCCTTTTATTAATGAATAAACTTTTCCTTCTCCACTTCGATCTAATAACATTAAACCATTTTCTGTTCCAATTAATAAATTAACACCCCATAAAGCAGCACATAAAATATGACAATTAAATCGTTTTTTATATTTTCGTATTTCTGGTGCATTTAATTTTAATTGATCATTTTCATCTAAATTTGGAGAGACATTAACATCAATTTGAGAAGATCTTTTATTAATAACAGATTCTCTTGACATATTATGTTGAATTGGTGAAGCTATGATAGATGTTGTTCGTTGTGGAGCATTTCCAACAGCTTGTCGATATTCATGTGATTGTGTTTGATCAAGTAAATGAATGGATTGATTTGATAAAAGATCAGGTAAAGTTCTTTTTTGTTGTGAATTAATATTAATAAATTCATCTTGTGTACAATTGATTTCTTTTAATGAATCATCAATATCTGTTTCATCATCGAAATCCGAATCATTTCGAGCTAATTCATTTAATTTTTCAACAACAGCAACTAAATCATCTGCTTTTCTTGGAAGTGCAATGGGTGGACCAGGATTAGATGGAAATGTTGAACGAGGAATATATTCGTCTAAATTATCATTTCGATCTGTATGTTGAACAGATTTAAAATTTTGTCTTAATGTATTTAAATTATTTTCTTTTTGTGTTAAATGTTGATTTAACAATTCATTTTCATTATCTTCAATATTATTTAAATTATTTCTTAAATTATTATCATCATCATCGTCATCATCATCATCATCATTATCATCATCTTCATCATCTGATTTTTTCGATATTTGTTGTTGGAGTGGGGGTGCTGGTTGTTGTTGTTGTTGTTGTTGTGGTTGATGTTGTTGAAGATCATCTTTAATCAATTGATGAGAATGATTTGATGATCGACGAAATTTTCTTGTTTTATCTAAATATTCTTTTATTTGAAGTTTAATTTGTTTTTCTTGACAATCTCGAATAAATGAATGTTTTAATAATTGATCACAATTTGAACGAATTAAATAATCTTTTATTAAACATGATTCAACAAAATTATGAAATTTTTTTGACCTAAAATTAAAATTAAATATAGAATTTACTTTAAAATAAAACAAAAAATGAAACCATTTAGATTTTAAACGTGGTGCAACATTTCTTGGAATTAAAAAAAGTGCTCGCATTGGATGCATTTCACATAAAGCTAAAAACAAAAAAGAGATTTTATTTGAAAAACTCATCAAAAGTATTTATTTTTTGAAAACTAACGTGGTTGTCCTTCAGCCATTTCAATAGCTGTTATTCCTAATGACCATATATCACTCTAAAATTAATTTTATACAAATTTTATTTGAAATAAATCTTCATCTCCTACTCTATTATCATATGTTGCTTGAGGATTTTCATCACAAGCAATAACTTCAGGTGCCATCCTAGAAAATCAAATTTAAAATACTTTGAAGAAATGGAAATGAAAGTTATACCAATAAGGTGTTCCAATAAAAGTATTTCTTCTTCCAATTGTTCGATCAAGTTGTGCTGATACACCAAAATCAACTAATTTTACTTCAGCATTTTCAGTTAATAAAACATTCTTAAAAGAAAACGAAAAGAAAAAATTTAAATGAATTTTATTTCTATATAAAAAATGTTTTTTTTTACTTGTCCTTTAATATCTCTATGAATTATTTTATTTAAATGAAGATGACTTAAACCATTTAAAATTTCTTTACTAATATAAGATATCCATTCTTCTTTTAACGTATTTCCTTTTGTTGATTTAACTAAATCAGTTATTGATCCAGCACCACAATATTCCATAACCAACTAAAAATACATTGATTTATTTAATAAATTATTCTTATAAATATAAATACCCATAATTGATCATGTTCATTTCTTCCTGGAATTGATTTATTAATAAATGCTCCATAATACATAGCTATATTTCGATGATTTGAATACTATATTGAAATTAATTTATATAAATATATATATTCAATCATTTAAATAAAATACAAACTTTTTTTAAAACATTAACTTCTAATTTGATTTCTTCTTCTTCATCCTTAACAAAAATAAATAACAAAACAAATTCAATGACATTTTTTTTTATAAATGAAAATAACTAACTTGTGTAACATCCATAACTTTAATAGCAGCTAATTGTCCTGTTTTTGTATGACGACCCTTTTTTAAAGAAAAATATTACGATTAAATTAAATTAAAGAGTTTATTTGAATAATAACCTTGTAAACTTGTCCATATGTTCCATTTCCAACAACTTCAATTAATTCAAATATTCCTGATGGATCCTAGAAAAGAAATTTTCGATTAATTAATTTTCTAAAAATGTAATATTTACTCGAAGTTGATTAAGATCAATTTCAATTTGATTATTATTTGTCATTGAATTTCGATCAATATCAATCCTAGTCTGTTCTATTCTATTCTGTCCTTTTTCTTCTTTTAACATCTTTCATATCGTTTCTTTCCATCAGCCATTAACATTATCAATTGTTCAATTCCATCATCCATTATAGATGTCACTCAATTACATTTATTTTCATCTATTTTCATTCATTTCAAATCAGTATATATAATATCAATCGCTTAATATTATCAAAAACTATTCATTTGTTTATCTACAAACCGATTTTATCTTGAACTTGTATATTATCATAATTATTTGTCATGAAAATCATATGAAACAATGTTGTTTTAAATCTATTTTCTCATCGAAATTCATTCCTCTGTGTATAAAATAATGAATAAAAGAAAGATTTATTACTTTTCTCTTAAATATCATTTCAATCAAAAAATATCTTTTTTCTGTTTCTAATTTTGAATTATTCAAAGATATTCACTAATCAATCTTTTTCAAACCTTATTAATTATTTTCTTTTAAATCAATTTCAGTTATCTTCTTAATAGAAGAAGAATCTGTTTACTAGCAATTAAATGTGGCAAAAACGATCATTTATTGGAAATCAACGCAAAAAAAAATCGATTATCAATAAGAGATTTCACGTACTTTCTTTTAGTTTTTAGTTAAAGTACATAAATCAACATTTGAATGTGAAAAAATCGAATCGTTGCTCTTGTTATGTTCTTTGACAAGATTGTTTTAGAAAATTGTACAATAGAGTGTCATTGATCGATAAAACCAATGAAAATATTAGAAATACTCTAAAATTGTCAACAATCATTCAATCAGAATGTTTATTTTAATTTATATCAGTTAACGATAATCCAGTTGCTCATATATTCAATTTAGAATAATATTGAGAAATTTATTCATTTTGTTAAACAGCAGATATCTTGAAGAAAAATTCTCTTCATTCGAATAATTTATTGTTATTTTCAGCCAATTTTCGAGTATTGTGCACAGATAAAAATACGTATGTACTAGTATCAATTAGGTAATCGGTAATTTAATTAATCACTGTTGATTCCGAAAGTAGGCGATTTATCAATGAATTTATTTATATTGGTTTATAAATCATGAATTTTTCAACCGAAAATTTAAAATTGTTATAAATATTTTTGATATTTATAAATCTGTTTTTAATTTATAAATGAATATATTATATAAGCATCTTATTCAGGCTTCGTAGTCCTCCTATATTTCCTATATTTCCTATATATTTAAAAATGCTCCTATAAATTCCTATTTTTCATGCATTTTTCCTATATTTCCTATATTTAGAAGAAACCTAATTTTTTTAAAATGAAATATATGTTGTTTCGATCAGCAACAAGTCAGAACTTCTGTACATATGTTATTATAGGTTTTGAAATAAAACGAATGACTACTGCAATAGTATATCACTATTTTATAATTTATCGATACACTCACCGTTGGAAAGAATCGTTATTTTGTTTCGAATTGTTTTACAGAAAATGACTAATTTTATAAACTTTCTAATGAACTTAGTGTAAAATTTCACTTATAAATTATACTTATATTCACGAATAGTATAAAATTGTTTTTTGAATTAATTCTATCTTAAGTTACATTTATTTGAAAATATAACTTTATATCAAAGGACACTAAATTCAATCTAGCGTAGTTTGGCGTGGGTGGAGAAATATTCATACTAACACCAACCCATGCCCACACCCTAGTGAATATTTGTTAATAAATTTAATAGAGACCATATTTTCTTTTAATTACTTTCAAATCGAACTTTTTGAATATCTTTTCTAGTAATTAAGAAGTGTATATTTGTTCTCGATTTTTTGGCAACTACGAGTGAGATAGCTAGTTATGATGTTATGGGCACGATAACGTTTGATATGAGTCTAATAAAAGCTTATTACTAAAGAAAAGAATTCCTATATATTTCCTATATTATTATGAAAATCCTATATAAATGCTGCTTTTACAATCCTATATTTTCCTATATCGCTGGGAGAGATCGCTACGAAGCCTGCATCTTATGACCAGTTTACTAATTTTGAACTGATTGATAAACCAAAGTGATGAAATTATCTTTATCATTTTAAGTGTCAATATGAGTATATAACATCCTCATACTGGAATATGATTTTACTAAATTTAAAAATACTATTGTCACGAATTTATAGTACACATGTTGACAGCTTCGAATATCTAGACTTGTCAAATTACCGATTTCGACCCTATTTATAAATGTTCTAAACTTTTACAATTTTTGATAAACTTAAATTTTTTGTCAAAATAATTTTGAACTGAACGGTGATGTTAATACATCATATTATCTCATCTCGATGTTCTTAAAAGTATTGATTATTCTTGCATTATCATAAGTCTAATTCCTATGAATTATGAAAATATTTTGTATGAGTTCATCTTTTTTTCTGATACTTTCTTCGACTACATGACCGATTATTTGGTATATTATATTTATTTTGAAATTTATTTAATTCTGGTAAATATATAGCAGCCATCATGATGTTGGATCGATTTAATACAAATGATTAGCGTAACCTCTACATCTTCCATACTGTTGTTTAAAGTTCATAAAGAGTAATAATTGCGAAAATTTATTTTGCATGTTCTCTTTCTCGTAGAGAAGAGTCTTGCAAACATAAATTGTCGGTTTGCTTGCATGTTCGCAGGGTCAAAAAAATATTTCGATACGGAGAATAAAAATGTGCGCTATATTTGCTCAGACTACTGAAGGGGGGGGGGGTGGATTGGGAGAAGTGGAGTAGATTGATAGAAACCAAGTTTTTGAGTAATGAATTTTTATGGGTATCCAAATCAGAGTTGTAACTGACAGGGTTTTTTTCTTACCGGTACTGGTAGGAATCGGCCAGACCGTTTTACCGGCATAATTTTTTACTAGCTTATTATTTAATATATAGGCAAGGATGTGGGTGTGGGTGTAACAAAAAAATAAAATCAACGTCCACACCCACAATCTCCTTTCATCTCGACAGAGCTTCTGTCGATATTAAAGTATATAGAATTTGAGAAACGGACAATCATTGTGATGACAGTTGGCTATGTTTCTTATCAATATAGATACGAGTAGTTTGCAAAAATTTACTGATAACAATGAAAGAAATACTTTGCTATGCAAAGCCATATCAATATAATTAAAAACTTTCTTTTCAACCAGACCCCCCGTACCCTACAGGGCCACTTCTTTCTTCTGAGGAGCCCATTATTTCGGGGGCCTTTTAATACGGGAGGCCCTTCTGTTGTGAGGGGACGTAGCGGCGGCGCCGGGAATTTAGACTAAGGTGGGCTCATATAAAATATCATTGGTTTTTATGAAGATCTGAAAAAAATTTCAGGGTGGCCTGAGCCCACCCTTGGTGTCGCCACTAGGGGAAAGGTTCATAAAACTAGGACTAAATAGGAAATTAGACCTGTAGTTTTCTAAAAAAAATCGTATTTTTTAGTATTTTTATTAGACAGCGTCAAAAAAACTCAATAAAAATTAGAAAAAATCTGTAGCGGACTGGTACCCAGACAGACAAAACACAAAAAAAAAACGGAGAAATACCGCGTAGAAATTTTGAAATTTTAACGAAAATAAAATCAGGAAAAGCGCACATTTTTACGATTTTTATCTCCATTAGCTTTGTCTACTGTGATTAACGCGCCGAGAATCTGTGCTTAGAGCGTTAAAAGTCACAAAATAACGCGTAAAACCACGTTGAATTTCGCGTTTCAACGAGTAAATACGGAGTAGATTTTAACGCAGTAGAACGCTTTCCGAAAAATTGCGTAGAAACGCGTTAAGAATTCGTAAAAGCGGTGTATTTACGAATTTGAAACGCGTTTTTTAAAGGTCTTGTCTGTCTGGATAGAAAAATATCTGTTTCGGCCGACAGGTATACTAACCGGTTACAACTCTGATCCAAATGTTCTTCAGCTTGTAATGCAGAGTGTGGCGACCATAAACTGTTGGCTTTCTTGCGTATACAATTACTAACACTTCACTTCTTCATTAAAAGCTAATTCGAGAAGCCCCTGGTGTTGACCACTGAGTAGGATGCGAGTATATACTATGAGTAAGGAACAACAAAGGAGAGCAAGGTTTGCGATTATTGTTCCAGTAAATGTATTGATTTTTTAGATATTTTACTTTATTTTATTATTTTGAAACATTTAATGGAAGATATTTATATCTCACTTTGGAGGTAGAAGAGAGTACAGCGAACGGTAAGAAGGATAGTATATCTTTACCATACAGCTCAATAATATGATCTTGAACAACCATAACGCTCAGTGAAACTAGCTTATCTGTATTGAAAGATTGCAAACATTAATTTGTTGATAAAACTTTTAAAGTGAATAACAAATGTAATTTATTTTAGGTTCGTCCTGATAACTTTTATCAACTACTCAATTAACGTGCATTATTTACATTGCAAATCAACAGCTTCATTAATAAAATACCCAAATAATGAACAATTTCTTTTGACCATTTCGAAAAAGTCTAGATTGATAAACCAAAACTAAGAGATAAGATCAGTTAAGAAACGAATCGAAAAAAACGTAGTTTGAATATGCACTGTGCAACTTATATGATTGTGTTGCCAGCGATTTTCTACGGTGAAATAGCTTCGTGCAAGGATACCATGATGCTTTTGCAAACCGTGTCTCTATTAGCCGCTCAACTAGGGGTGGAATTAACACCTGGAAAAGCTTTATATGAAAAACTCGGCGATCGTATCAATAGATTCGGATTGAGATATGATGCTAACCATTGGAAAGATTATTTAAATGGAGTAGCAACTAATGCTACATAATAATAATAAAAGAGACGGTGTGTCCACAAAACACTCCTAATTGAAGGTCTCATCTAAAACTATTTTCATACGAAAACCCATGTTTTCCCTGTAAGATAACACTACTCTGGAGTCGCCTAGATTATTCTCGTTAATCCTTTTAAACCTATTCTAATAGCCACCTTCTTGATCCTCCATCAGCTGGCCTGTTTTAGGCATTACACTCTAACGCTACTTATGCTTATAAATTACCGTCGGTGGGAAAGCGCTAGTTTTTCATCTCAGATGAAGGTCATCGAAAAAACATGTAGTTAAATACACTGTTCTCTATATTTTTCACGTGTCACTCTATTAGTAAACTAAGACATCCTTTTTACTGGGATAGCCCTATTTAGGGAATTTCCATTGCGGTTCGTCCAGCGAGCGTCATTTTTCTACCGTAGATAGAAGTCACTCAGAGCTACAAAATGATGCTAAAACATGTGGGTAAGCATACTAAATTCGATTTTTTCGAGGTATTATACGGCGAATTTTGCGTGCGGGACGTCTTCGTAGCAACCATAGAAAGAATGATTTCATTACTCAGTGCGTCATTATTGAAGGCTCTTGATTACTATCTTTGGCATAGTATTAATGATTAGTTACATATTAACTGATGATAATGGTTTTTTGCAGTAACTACCCAAAGCCTTCTTCATAGAAATTCACAATATAATCACTCAAAAATATAGATCATAGTATATTTACCCACTTTTTTTAGTATCATTTTGTAGCTCTGAGTAACTTCTATCTACGGTGAAAAAATGACGCTGGTTCCGCAAGTCATAGTGATAATCTACTAGATGAGACTACTCTAGTGTATAGGTTTTCATACGTTGCTGATGTTATCGACGAATCCGCATAATTTTACCAGCGATCCGTTCAGGTATGCGTTTCAAATGTTTTACTCATGTTTCAAGTAGAATTTAGCCAACTCTATCGAATCTTGAGGGTGTGGGTGCTATGCTTACTAAGTGGACATTCTTATACACACACCCTCATGACTTCACCTTTAGGTAAAGCCCATCGGGTCCACACATTTTTAGACTCTCAGTAAATTTTTCAATTTGAAATCTGATAGTTGCATCGAAAATAGTTTTGTTGTTGTTTTTTCTATTATTTTTATAAATAAATTCAAGGCTTTTTGAATGAAATAAATAAAAAATTAAAGAAATTCAAAAAAATATTATGTTGATAGCATATTTCTTCCGATCCGGGCCCGGTCAGAAAAAGCTTCGATATCCGGACCCGGACTCGATGGGCTCTGCCTTTAGGTGTAAAGCTTGCACTTGCAGGTTCGCGAGAATAATGTTATTATTAAAGTCAAGGTTGTTATCTATCTATCTATTTATTTACCTGATTGCCTTTCTACACGATGTAGACACATAGCACTGCTGATACCTTCAGCTTTAATCTCTACTCTAATAACTGGGCAATCAACTTAACGGAATTAGAACATCAGATGGGCTCTGAATACTTGTAACGAATTATTGAATTCTACATTCTTGCAAAAATCGTCGGTTGATTCGTAAATTTTTTTCTATCTTTATTTTTTTATACTGGCAGATAGTAAGACTTTTATCCTCGATGTTTTCAACACGTAATATGAACCGAGTTCAAATAATTAGTTATCTAAGAAAAAAGTTACTGCTTCGATATGTCTTAATTGGAAGTCTTATAAGTTTTGAAGTACTATATATTCTATTCAAACCAAATATCACTGAAAAAGAAACTATTGTAAAACCCTTTGTAAAATTTTCTCAATCCTCTAACAATCTATGTCGTCGATCTGATGGAACTACTTTCATGAGCAATCAATTACAAAAATTAGATATAAATGAAACAGACCATCGAAGTGCATATATCAACGAAAGCTATGCTTTACGAGTCTCATATATATCGAAAAATTATACAACTTTAAGTGAGTTCATTGAAAACACTCGCATAGCTATTATGTCGCGTCGATTGATTCCAAAAGCTCGTACCCTTGATATAATCTTTCATCATCCGCCGTATAAAGATATGATAAAGCCATTTTGTGACGGTTTATGGATGGAATTTGGTGTGTTTCAAGGTGCAACATTATCTCAAATTGCGAAATGGAAAAGTACATATTGCAGTAACAGAAGTCAGTTAGTTTATGGTTTTGATACTTTTACTGGTTTACCTACAGGCTGGAGACCTGGATATCCTCCCGGATCATTGAGTATTCGTAATGGAACAAAAATCTCAGTTCCACTTAATGCTGTTTTAGTTAAAGGTCTGTTTATTGATACATTACCGACTCAACTTCGTTTGCTTGATCTTGAATACCGTTGTACAACTCCAGTATCATTTGTACACATTGATTCTGATACTTATAATAGTGCGCGAGATGTTCTATTTCTACTTGGAAGTCGTTTTGTACCAGGCACAATTATAATATTCGACGAATTATTCAATTATCCATCTTATGAGAAACATGAAATCAAAGCTTTATTTGAATTTTTATCGAGCTCAAATTTACGATTTATACCGTTGGGTGCCACTGATAAAATTTTAAAAAAGCCATTGGACGATGAATGGGTACAATCATTTGGTTTTGTTGTAGACTTCGAAGAATTCAGCTAGAATGATTGAGACAAAAATGCATTATACATCATGTTATTCATAAATCTTAAATATTTTATCTTAAAACCTATTTGTTAAATAAACCAATACATCTGACATAAGTATAGAAAAATCAACAAGAAGATCAATCTTTCCTTCGTTGATTATCTTAAAGGTGTGGGTGTGGGATGATGGGAAAAGGAAGAGACACTGACACAAACACCTACTCACCTCTCAGCCACACCCACCCTCAAGACGCAATCGAGTGATTAAGAAAATATGTCGCAAAGTATGAAACATGTGACTGATTTTAATTAATTTTGTGTACGAACTATATTAATTTTATTTATACAAAAAAAGAAAGACAAAAAACAAGTCAATTTTCACGATATATAATTTCTTATAATTTCCAATGCACACTTATTTTGTCGCCCCTACGCTGAATTGTATAGCTACCAATAACCGTCCTGAAATCGATTGTCTTTGCTAAAGTTCTAACCATGTTTTCATCTGCCATAGGAATAATGAAGCACAGATAGCAGAGATTAGGAATATGTGTTATTCGATTCATTGAAATAAATTTCATAAGTAATGGAACATCTGTATCTAACATACAGCCTACTTCAAGATATTGCATATGTGGACAAAGACTGATAAAAAATTCAATTTCTTCTTCTTCTGTAACTTGACCAAGTTTGACTTTTGTTATTTTGTTAATAGCAGATACTGATAGATGATTTTCGGTATCTTCAATAGATAAAGATTCTAACTGAAGTATTGGCATAGATGAGAGTTTTAATGATTCAATATTTGGCAACAGATGAAGAATATCGAGTAACATATTAATAGACATGCTATTATTATCTATATCTAAATGAGTAAATTGAATCGCTTTAAATGCACATTTTAATTTATTAATAAATCGCCAATTAACTTCAGTAAATTCATAATTCTCAATAGTCAACTGTATAATACCATCGGCAGTTTTTTCTTGATTACAAATATAATCATGTTCGATCGAATTTTGTTTCGAATACATGTCAGTATTCATATGTTGATCAAGATCGATCCATTCTTTTCTAATAAAGAAAAAATCAAAATATATATGGAATCATTTTCTAAAAGATTTCTCTAGACATACCTAAATGGATGAATTGAAAAAATCATTTTTTCACAATATACTTGTATCTCACGAAACCATTTTCGTTTAAACCAAAATGGTGAATTAAATCGATTAATGAATCCATCAGTTGAATCAATTAAATTTGTCTTCCTATCATCATTAATGTCCTGAATAAAATGTAAGTAGAATTCTTTTAATTGAGGCATATATTCTTTAATTAATCGTTCCCAACGATTATCATCAAGATAAGTTTTATTCCGAAGTATACCAATTTTGAATATCTCTAATTGAGAACATATTTCCTTAATAAACACTTCAAATTCATCAAACGAAGGGAAAAATTCTTCAAAATAAATAGATTTTAAATGTGGTAATTTCATCGATAGATCGTTTGTGAATTTTTCATCTAATTCAACCACTCGACGACAATACAGATGACGAAGTTGTGGTGTATAATGAACAAGAGAATTTAGTTGATTAAGAGAACAAATATAGTTAATAACCAAACGTTCGATCGTACTAAATTTTTTATTGATTACATGTATAATATTAATTTGTACTTCATCAATAGATGTTGCTAGTTGATTATATTTTAATGTAGATAAAGAAAAAATTAATGGATAAATATCTCCAAGATCATAGTAATCATCATCTTTTATAAAAATAGTTAGTGAAAAGAGACGAAATAAAGTATTTAAATAAAAAAGAGTCGTGCGTAGTTTCTCTGCTTCGATTCCTATGAGCATAATTGATTCAAGACGTTGAAATGATGAATCAATAATACAATGATAAAAAAAATTTCTAATCAATAATTCATCGATCAAATGAAGTGAAAGAATACGATGTGAATTTGGAATAATAACATGTTGACAACGATCTTCAAGTAGAGATTTTGATTTTAAATTAAGTTTTATTCGAAGTAAAATTGACGAAGAAAGTATAAGATTTTGTAAACGATTATTAAGATTTGAAAATGATTTATATATATCATAAGCATCAATATATTCCAATATTTCGTACAAAAGTTCATTTGATAAATTTTCCAAACAGGTGTACGATCTAGTGAAAAAACAATATTATACATTTTAACAAATGCCTTTATTGATTACCTTTCGTGACTCAATCTTGCTAAAGAAAAAAGAAATGAAAAAAACATTCTACTCTAATATATTTCTAATTTACTTTGTAGGTGTTTCGTTTCCACATCAATCGATTTATTCGAACTTAGTTGTCGTTTGATTACATTCATATTTATTCAACAAATATAAAGTGTAAAAGTTTTCTTAAGTATACATAATCGACTGAATGTAATGTTATGAAGAAACTAGATTTTCTTTCCTCTGTTCGATATATATACAAATGAACATCGATTAGTCACTATTTTCTATTCTTTGTTCTATCATTTTCTCTTTGGAAGAAAGATAAGAGAATAAAATAAATATTTGTGTTTAACACTTATTAGAATTTTCGATAAAAGTTGATATATATATATATACAGATTGATTACGTTATTTTTAATAGCTTCATTTATTCATATATATAAACAAAACGATGGATCTTGAGCATAAATTTCATTGCATGACATTTTTTAAACTGAATTTTAATAAACCGAACGGAAGCCAAAGAATCTAACTATGATTCAACAGAAAAGACGAAAAAAAGTTTTATATTTGATGCACACATCTCATCGCGAACGTCGAATGCAATCAACTTGTATTGAAAGAAAATACACGTAGATTAAATATCTTACGACAAAATTAATCTTATGAATAATCTTTTTCAAATAAATAATTCGATTTATTTATCTAGATTTTTCAAATATTAATGATTGAGAAAAAGTCGTAGGAAAATATTTACCTACATACTACAATATCATTTTGTAGCTTTTGATGACTATTGTCTTTGCTGAAAAAATGGCAGTGTAACTTTAGAAATTCGTTTCATTATTCATCATGAGATTCGAAAATCTAGTACAAGTAATAATATTAATATAGAAGATTTCAAGTTTATAGGAAATAAAGATAAATATTAAAGTTATTCAAATTATCATTGAATCCTTTGTAAAGTTGAGAATAATTTATTTAATATGAATCATCTTCGTCATACTCTTATAATCAAACATCTAATAAAATTTATAAGTTTTATGTTACTTTTAAATCATCCTATATTCTTTATTATAACTCTGTTTCATCATTATTAATATCACGAAAACAATCTTTGTCAATTTCTTCTATTTGTAAATATCGTTGACCATCGACATTTGTCCAATATTTATTTTTATCTAACATTCGTTCATCTATTGACATTTCATTTTCAATTGCAAAGATAATACGTGCTCGTTCTAAATGCCTATTGAAATTTAAATGAATAAATAAACAAACGAACGAGAAAACTAAATCCATTGTACAAACCATATTTGTGTAGCACTTTCAATAACATTTCCATATGTATCACCCATCATAGCTATGAGTAAATTAAGTAAGAGAATAGACACAACAACAACATAAATAACCAGTAATGGCATACTAATATATTGAAATGTTGTTCCCGTATGATGATCAAGATTAAAATCACCTAACATACCAAAAAAACATTGTTTGATACTTAGAAGAAAACCAGAAAAACCTAAAATAATAGAAATTAATAACAAGAAAAATCCTCTCATTCTATTTACCGTTATAATTGAATAAAACAAAGAATGCTTGTGAAAAACCAATAAGAAATACGATATAAATAATACAAAAACGAAGAACATCATTCAAAAGCATTTTATAGATCATAAATACAAATGGGCCAGTAAGTTTAAAAGCCATAGCAAAAAATAACATATAAACCCAACCTATAACAGAAACAAGTGCAAGTACAATTGTATATGTTTCTATATCGAATAATCGAAGAATGTTAAGAATAATAATACCAGAACACAATAAACATGATAAACAATTTTCAAGAAGAGCCGAACCCTAATCAAAAAAATAATAATTTATACGATTCAGAATAAAATATCAGAAACAGAAAAGTTTACCGTAGTCTGAAAATATTTGTGTATGCCCACATTGTTCATTTCTCTTAACTCAGATTCACCTTTTGATATAGCGCCAGTTAATACAATGAGACGACCTGTTGTGCATATTAATCGATAAGCGATACCTGGATATTCAACACGACTTACTATCATTTCATCATCTTTTCCTTCTGTCTACATGCGAAATAAAAAATAAATATTTCAATCTAAAAGATTTTGTTGACATGATGCTTTTACTATTTCTGTTCTTGTTTGGTCGAGAATTGTAGTAAAAAGAAAAATGAATAGATAGATAAGAGTAACAAAAAAACGACGGAAAAATATACGTCGAGCAAAACATTCCCATTTTTTATTAAGTAAATCGATCATACGTGGATGCGTAATAAGTTCAGTTTGAGCACTTTGGACGATCAATTCAAGAGCTCCAGGTCGTGCATCTCTGCCCTGAATAAATATTGAAAAGACGAACAGAGAAAGTATATATACTCACTTCTTGTTGAAATTCAAACTCGAGTTCATCTAGCGGATAGAGCACACATGAAACAGGTCCGTAACGCCATTGAATAATTTTACGTTCGTCAAGTAAAAAAGAGAACATATCAGTGACGCCTAATTTAGCTGCTAATGTAAATGGAGTAAAACCATCTTTATTGAGACGTTTCCATAGTGGAACCTCTTTTTCCTTCGTGATTGTTACTGTTTTACTTTTCTCACCTTCATCGTCATCTACATTCCTCGATCCGTTAGTCGACATTGCCTGTACTTTTAACCAACGTTCCTTGAATTTTGTATATATTTTTGGCAGATTATGAATGACAACTAAATGCAAGATTGTGTTTCCATTGTTGTCAACCTAAAATCGAGAGTAAAACAATAATCTTCTACTTATTTTTTCTTCTAATAAACAGTGTTGTCTACTGACCACATCCATAGAGGCGCCGTATTTAAGCAGAATTTCTACTATATTCCATTGATTAGTACAGCAAGCAAATGCAAGAGGTGTTTCACCATAGTAACACGGACGACCACTGAAAAGAAATAGAACATATTGATATCATCTCAAAGATAGAGAGAGATATTACTATTGAAAAAAATGTCCACTGGCGGTAGCTGTCAATTGTTGTTCTCGATAGAGCCGGACACGTTCATTACTAAGAAGCCATTCAATTATGATTGCATTACGATTGATAATAGCAATATGAAGAACAATCTCGCCATAATATTCCTATATGATGTACATGCCATTTAACTCATGAGGAAACCTCACCAAATGACACCCTCCATTTGAGCTCATGTTTTGCCAAGGAGTATAAATACTGCTTATATTTCAACTCTTCGCCTTTATTTACCTCAAGACAAACATTTTTCTTATAACTTGATTTTTATTGGTTACTGCTCAAACAATGGGATGGCAAGGCAAATGGAGTATAGATTTGAGTTCACTGACCCAGAAAACCTCGAAGTAACATATCTATGATCGAAATATAGAGGCCTAATTCTGAGCCAATCATATCGCCGGCAAAATCTGGAACCATTTTCTGTATAAAATGGTATATAACAAACGAGGTTTTATTCGCCTATGATAGAAAAGTTTCTTACGAGAACAGCGCTATATCGTTCTTCCAATTAGGCTCATTTCCGAACTCGACCAAGATATTCATGGAATAATGCTGTATAGAAAATTTCATAACAATCGGACTATTCTTTCAAAAGTTATCGTGTAAACGGATGAGTAGCATTTTCGAAGATTCTTTCATGAGAAATACTTGAATAGAAAGTTACTTACTGGCTGATTGTAGATCTGTATAACGATTTCTGGAAAACGTTTGATGAGATATCGAGCCATTTTAAGATGAGCTTCAGTTCCATATAAAAATAACATATGAATGGGACAGTCGCCAACTGGACCTCTTGCATTAACATTATTCGGATCGTTATCAAGAAGGTGTTCGAGTACTGCCTGATCCGCTCTGCGTACAGCGTCCCAAATAGTGCCACCTTTATGTGATGCTTCAGTCTGTCGTTCAACCGCTGATAGATTCGATCTTTCATCAGTTATTTCTTTCGATAACTGTTTAGTTTGTGCCATACTATTAATAAAAACTTAGAAGTTACCTACGAGAGAATCTCGCCAAATCATTAAGAACTTTTAATTTCGATATATTGCACGATATTTCAATCTGAATTTTTGGCCATATATTAGTTTGACAACTGCTAAAACTCCTCTTTGAAATGACAATTATATGATGTAAATGTGTGCGAATTCAGAAGTGAATTTGAATATTCTTAACAATACTCTTGTCATCTGTAGTCTCAGTGAGTAGCATAATCGAATATATTGCAAGTAAACATAAACGACCTTGAAGATATATTTAGAAAGTCGAGAAGATTTAATTCAATTTTAATTAAAGACACATCCTTTTCTATGGGCTCTTCCTGTGCTTCTAATGCCATTTTATCTAACGTGAGTAGGATTGCTCTCTCGTGAACAATATCGAAATTCGTCTATGCTTCAATTCTATCCACATTCACCTACCTTTCTTTTATTCCAACCAACCAACCAACACTCGACAAAACAAAAAAAGTAAAAGTAACTGTTAATGATGCCTCGTTGTCAGTGGTAAAACAACATAAATCAAAAAAGACGACGTTTCTACGCGTAAGAATGTGCGCTTTTTACACTTGAAAAAAATTCTTTCTTTTTGTAAAAAAAAGCCGAGATGATAACAAGAATGCTTTGAAAAAAAAGATTTTTTTCGTTCCTTGTCTGCCTGGGTGTACAGTAAAATAATTTCATTTCGGTGTTCTGAGCTTGTATTGTTGACACACGCTGAAAGATTGCAACACCATCTGATCATTTTTTATTTGACCTTCGCTGGATGAGTGTGAGATGTGGTCGGTATCTGTGTGTGTATGAATATCGTATCCACATTCTATCTCGAATTTCTCTAAAGTTGAATTCATTACACAATAATATGATAATACTATTATAAATATATACTTTTTATCAGTTTAACAGAAGAAATCTATAATAGATAAGAATTGTTTTTAAATAAACATAGTTGTTGACAAGATTATAGAATTGAATGATGTTACACTTGAAAATTAACAAATCTTTGACAGTAATCGAGTCTATTCAATTTGATTGAAATAAAAATCTGCCTTTTCAAATCTTGTTCATTTATGGATTCAATTGTTTTACTTGTGAATATTAATTAAACTCCTTTCCCCTATGAAACTACTCTAGTTTAACATCAAATATCGATATCACTTCTATGATATGTATAGGTAGATAGATTTGACATCTACTAATAAGTTTATTTAACATTAGTTTTCATTTAAAAATCAATGAATTCTATTGAAAAATCTATGGATAGATGAACACTCACTTAATGAAATTCAGCTAGGAAATGTTTTTATTTTGATATTAAAATTTTGGACATGATTTTGGTATCCAACAATTGCACCATTCATCGGGAATTTCTGCTGTTTGACAAGTTCGACTATCTGGTATATATTCTTTAAACAAATTGATTGCTGCATGGGGTATTAGAGATGATGATGTAGTAGAAAATGTGGCAAAAGTTAAATAAATATCGGCATGAGTGACAAGTTTATTTCGATTAGCTTTTAAATGTTTAATAATATTTTTTGATCCTTTGATATTTTTTCCAATTAATATTTGAAGAAAAGGATTTCTTTGATCAAATTCTCTCCATAATTCTTTCCAATCATGTCGATGTAATCCATGATCACCAAGAAGAATAAGAATTGTATTATCTAATGCATTTGATTGATTTAATTGAAGAAGAAAATGAGAAAATTTTGTATCCATAACTGAAAAATTATTTAATTCATCTTCACTATGTGCATCAACAATATTATTAATTGAAAACCAACCACCTTGACGCATCATTAGAAAACGATCTCGAATATAATCAAGCATTTCATCAACAATCCAAGTTGTATTGGAAACACAACCACTATTCTGTTGATATAATTCAACTGTATCACCACCAAATTCTTGAAAATAATTTTCAGCTAATATTCGATCAACTGAATGAGATGGAATATGATCCCATAATTGATAACTATAACTTTCTAAGAAACTTGTGGAATATTTTGCTTCTTTATACAAATTTAAAAGTGATGTTGTTTGACAATTACCAATTCCACAATATAATCTATTCATATTTGGTTCAGAATTAAATCCATTTACATTCAAATGAAAAAATTCAATTGCCTCAACGCCTGATAATTCGGACAATGAAAAAGATGATGAATCATTCCTAATAAAAGTATTGAAAAAATTATACGAAGTTTACGATTTTTTTTATTTTTCAATCTAATTGATCATTGATTGATTATAGAAAATAATCGTACCTATAGGAAGTGAGAAGTTGATAAGAACGTGGCATTCTTCTATAGAATCCTTGTCGACCAAGAGCATCAAATTGAATAAAAACAACATTTGTTTTTTTACTTTTTTTAAGCGATTTTCTATTTGAAAATGGTTGAGCATGAAAATGAAGACGAACAGTTGGTTCAGAATAGAATGGTAAATGACATTGAGCATAAACCCATTCATGATCACCCAAACTAACTGGTTCAATATAATCTTCAAAGACTGAAGCTCGATTTGAAAAACCATATTTTGGTTGCATTGATAACGGACAATCGATTATTAATGTATTATTTATCTTGTTTATTCGTGAAAATATTGGACTTGAACAACCACGTCGATAAAATGTAGACCATCTACAATGAAATATTTTACTAAGAATATCTCATTTGTTTATTCTTGAAATTTTTAATAGAATTAATAAAAAAGAAAGCAAAACATACCTGTATCTCCACATGGCATCTAATTTGTTACTTAATTGATAACTATCATTCTCTGGTCGAAGACAATTTGGAATTTTTTCATGAATATTAATATGAAATTCACTTTTCAATGCACCAACACGAAATTCATGATATTGTTTACATTCATCACTCACTTCAATTTCATTATTAATACTATCATTGGACACCAAATCATTCACTTGAGATTTAGCCATGAAAAAGGAGAAAATTGTAACTAATATCAATGCTATCAAAATAAATCCAATCATTAGAGATGAATAATGAAATCGAGATCTTTTCATAATTCAATTAATTTATTCGAATTTTTTGGAATAATCTCAGAGAAAAATAATACGATTAAATCTTAGCCAAATTTTGTAGAAAATAAAATCTATAAATTGAATAATAAATTATCATTATAATATTCATAACTATGAACAAGTTTATATTCAAAGTAACACATTCATCCAAATGACTTTTTCATTAATTCTATTAAAAAATAAAAGAATAAAACACAAAATTCACAAAGTGTAATTAAGTCACTTAAAATTGATTTCAAATAACAATTTTCTTTTGCATGGATATCATATACATCAACAATTTCAAATACTAAAAATCCATTAGAATTACGTCTTCATTTTCGATTGTCAAATATTGCACATGAACACAAATTTGTAATAAAATCATTGAGAATATTATCTCACCATATATCTATGATAAAATAAGTTTTCATTATTTTTATACAAATATTGTTCATCAAACATTTTCTATATCAATTGTCTTGTGTATAATTATTATAAGAAACTAAACTGTATCTTTGATTGTTTTACAAACCATTATTGAAGCTTAAAAATGAAAATGAAAACAATTGCTGATGATGATCAATTCTCATAAATAATATTCAGATATGAATCAAGTAGAAGATGAATGAATAAATACGTTTTGAACTATATGTGTAAACGAAGTAAAGAACTGAATAAAGAAAAATATGTGAAGTACATATTTTTATCTTTTTCTCTTACTCTAATAATAACTACTCATGCATGAATTTAAATTTTTATCATATTGAAAAAATACCTAAGCAAACAGATAAAACAACAATTTCTAAAGAACATTTTTTACTTTGCTATGTTCACTAAAAATATTCGATGGAATTAATAAATAAAAAGGAAAGAATAAGAAGTTTTTTTTTAGATATTGTATTGACATTAATCAAATGTGTTCAAGTAATTAGAAATTATTATTTGTTTACAATTTCTCCTAGATCAAAAGAAAATAAAACATATATACGTGAGAAACTCTTCAATATTAATGAAATGTGTAAATATCGACACATAGAAATCATTGATTGATTATTATCTGAAAATGAAAACAACTCATGGAAAAAATACTAATTACAATTCGATCTTTACTCAAAAAAACACTCTTTGAAATTGAATATTTTTATGAATAAAATAGATCGAGTACAACTTCACTAAACAAAACATAAATCACAAAAGTATACAAAATAAATACATATATATCTCTAGTTAGAAATATTAAATTTCATTTGTTGAAAAAAATAGAGAAGTCAAGTTATTTATATGTTACAATTTTTATTTTCATATCTCGGAAAAAAACATAAAATTAAATGTAATTTCATATTGAAAAAAGTAGTTGATAAATAAGTTGTAGAATATTAAAAATTATTCTTTTTCACTTTCTATACATTTCTTTAAAGCGAACGCATTAACTATTTTCACTTGAAACAAATATTTTTCAGTATTTTATCATTCAATGATGATTAAAAGCAAAATTTTCATATAATACTAAGGATAAATTTGTCCACAATTTTATAATATAAACCGTAGAAAATTTCAATATTATATAGAGAAAAAACAATAATAACAGAGATTCGTATGTAAAATAATGTTCAGTTACATTATTAGCTTGAAAATCTTGGAAGTGAGATAACATACAGTATCTGTATACTCAAAAAATTAATTTATCATAGATTACCTATCTTTTAGTCTTTTTTTGTTGATTTCGTTTGTTTATTATGTGGCATTATTTTGTTCTGAAAAGCTTTTGACTTCCTCGAAGAATGAATCAGGAGATAAGCATAGAGCAAGTTTTTTACACTCTGACCCACAAAACTGATATACTGCATTGAATATTTTTATTGATTAACTTGAAGAAAAATAACATTCTCAAATTGTATTATAGTTTATTTCACCAAAAAATAATAAGTATTATCAAAAGACAGTAGAACTGATTTTGAATAATGGTACAGGTTTTACTATTAAACTTGCGAGTTAAAATGGAATGTAGTTGAGCCATTTGGCACAAATATAATATTAATTTGTTAAATTTTTGCTTTATATAACAAAAATAGGAAAGTTTTCGAACGAAAATATATTTTACATTGATGGAATCTACAACTATCAATATGACCGGTTTGTGGACTGTGGATCGATCTAAAGCAAAAACAGACATTTCCTTAAGAAGTTATGATCTGATTAAGTGTTTGTTCAAAACAGGATTTCATATTAATAATCTTTGAAAGTAGCACAATCGACTATGCTAGATACATTGAATAAATGGTTAATGTTGCATTTTCAATAAAATGAAGTTAGACTATGTAATCATTATTGAACAGAACAATGGTATAGAGTAACATGAAAAGCAGCATTGCTTCAATAATTAAAACATGCAATTAAAAAAACAAATTCGATAGACAATTGTTTTTAAAAGTTGTACTTGTTGAACAAAAAAATATTGTATTGCATATCATAAACTGATGTAGATTCTTTCAGATAATAATAATACTATTTGTATTGGTAGAGAATTTCACAAGAAATCTATATGTAAAATAATTTTTTTTCTTTATCGAATTCTAAACAAGAAATATGGAAAATAGTGAGATGTCCATCCATTAATATTAGTAAAGATTAATATAGAAATTTTTATTTTAATTCTATATAAGAACATCCTATCACGATTTACTTTTTCTTAACTTTCTCTACATAAATGACGTTGGATGAAAGTGATGAGATCTTTGATAAACTAAGCAAAAGTTTTGTTATTTCTTAATTATTTATATAAGAGTTATCACACATTAGTAAACTTCTAATAAATATATTTTATGTCTGTGCATCTTTTCATCGATATAGTTTATTTGTAAATAACTTTTGATATGATAAAAAGAAAAGAATATTTTCTTGTTTGTTTTTATATTAAATTGAGAAAATCGTTTTTCATAGAACAAATCAAATTTTTAATGTTTTCTCTAGAGTTGATCAAGATCTTTTATTGAAAATCAAGTTTTTGAAAAGAATTTTATTTTCTTTTTTTTCATTGATATTTATTATATAAAATAAAAATGTTCTTGTTCAATGTATATAGGTCATATTGCAAAATATTCTTCTATATACATCTAAGTATATATATATGTATATGTATATATGTAAAGAAAGAAAGAAAAAAAAGAATTGTTCTGATCAGAATAAAAGTCTATTGGTAGAATAAAAAAAAGTGACGAGCCATAAGAGTGGTCGGTCTATGTCGAGTTCGATAATAATTGTGGACATTACACACACAACAACGACGACGGATGACGACGCAACATATTTTAGAAAAGAGAGAAGAAAGAAACATAGGTCAACAAACGGGCAACATATATACTATATTTAACAAACCTTCTTTTCACGTCAGAGAGAGAGAATCGTTCATAAACATTTCATAATTCTTCTTGCGGTTTTTTTTCTCTTTTTCTTCTTCGAGCAGCGGTCGAACTCAAAGAAAAGAGAAAAAAGCGCGACCGATGGACGTTATATCGGCCATCGCAACGGGTACAATTGTTGCAGCTAAGGGAACACCAACTTCTTTTTCTCCATTTTTCTCTCTCTCTCTATGTCTCTCTCTCTCTCGTCGAGGGCAGTGAACGATGCTCGTCCAACAACAACATTACGAAAATAATACGTAACTGCGTCGTTGAACGTAGTTGTATATAATGATGCATCCGCATTATGGATTTGTAGGTTCAACATATGTTGGAAATAATGTTGGAATAAAACAAGTTCAACAAATCTATGGAAATTCAATTCATCATCAACAAGTACCTTTTTATTCTCAACATTCAAATTATTCATCAATTCATTCACATCAACAAAGAAATCAACATTATCCTCCCTATCAACAACAACAACAACAACAAGCACAAGCCCAAGCCCAACAACAACAACAACAAATAAATAATGTTGAATGTAAGTTGTCTATTCTATCCTTTAAGGAAAGGTATTTGATTTTGTTGTTTAAGAACGAGTTTATTAAGGACAAAAATAGATTTTCTTTCTCGTTCTTTTGTGTAACGTCGTTATACTCTGTGCTCTTAGAAAGAAAGAAAAAAAACAAGACGACGACGTAGAAGAAGAAGAATATTTATTTGCGTCGTTTTTAGTCATTTTAATAAAAAGTAGATAATAAAATAAAAGAGAAAAAATGTTTGAAAATTCTTCATCATCATCAACAACAGGAACATATCCAACATCAACATTAAAATGTTTATTAGAAAATACTGAATTGGCTGATCTTTTATTTAATAATTTTCCTATTTTAGACGATGATAATCATTGTACGATTTTTCTAGAGAATTTAAAAAATAAAATCTTTTTTTTTTTTTTTCATTTAGTAAAATCGGATAAACAACTTTTATCAAATGAATTAGCTTCAAAAGTTGCATGGAATTCTTCAGCATTTCTTGGTCCAAATTTATGGGATAAAGATCAATTATACAGTGCAAATGGTAATGGAAATGGAAATGGAAATAATAATGGAACAACATCAACATCAACATTACATAATGAAAAAACAACAAATGGAAATTTTAAAGTTGAAAATATTGATATTGATGAATTTCTTTGTGAAAATAATTTAAATTTAAATGATATTGAATCATTTTCAAATCATTTTGAACATGTTGAACAAACAACATCAAATTCACCAAATCAAAATCAAGATACACTTATTCTTCATTCACCTATGCAAGCAGCACCAGCTAAATCACCTGCTGATGATTCTATTAGTATTTTGAAAAATTCATTTTCTTATTTCATTCCATCGTTTATTTTATCTGTAGGTCGTCAATCATCAAGTTCATCACGAAAATATTCTCAAGATGAAGTTTCATCAAAAAATGGACATATAAAACAATCGAAAAAATCTCGAAAGGCTCAACATCAATCTAAAGTTTGTTTTGCAACGAAAACCAATTTTAATTTTGTTTGATTTAACTTTACTTTTTAGCAGTTTGTTCCAGATGAATTAAAAGATGAAAAATATTGGGCGCGACGAAGAAAAAATAATTTAGCTGCAAAACGATCGAGAGATGCACGACGAATGAAAGAAAATCAAATTGCATTAAGAGCTGATTTTTTAGAAAGAGAAAGTGATTTATTAAAGAAACAACTTGAAGATTTAAAAAGAGAAAATCAAAAACTTAAAATGAAATTAATTCAATATGAATCTTCAATTAAACAGTGACATTTCTTTTTCTTCTTTTTCTTTTTTTTTTCTTTTTCTTTTTTTTCTTTTTCTTTTTCTTCTTTATTTGTATATCTTGTATTAAACATCATTTTATTTACAAAAAAAAAAGAATCTAGTAGAGACGAATGTCATTTCGATCGATTTGACCATTAACATCATACATTAACATTTCAATTGATCTTTAAAAGATTTTAAATCATTTTTAAATAATATAAAAAAAAAAACAAAAGAATTTTCTTTTTTCTTCTTTTATTCTTACCGAGGATCAGTCGAAACAAATCCATTTAAAAGATTTTCATTGGAATTTAAACGATCGACATATAATGAATTAGTTAATGGATTCTAAACATTTATTTTTATATTAACAAACAAATAGATTTTCACAAAAACATTCAAAGAAATTTAAAGAAAATTTACTTGTGTTCTATGATCAATACTAATTCTTTCTCGTTTGATATTTGAACGATTATTTTGATTAGAATTTAAATTTAAATTTCCATTGATTGTTTGAGATGGATGAGATGGATGAGATGGATGGGGAGGATGTGGTGGAGCAACTCTATATTCAATTAAAATTAAAAATAATTAAATAAAAGAAAAGAAAAGAAAAGAAAAAACCTTGGTGGTTGTTCTTCATCTTCATCAGATGATAATGTTATAACTGATACGGAACGTTGACGATTAGTATTCGTATTCGTATTCGTATTCGTATTAGTCTGATTAACTAATGAATTATCATTTAAATTAACTTGAAATCGTTCAGGAGGAAGAAAATGTTGACCAACAAAATCATTTGTTGTTAAACGACGATTAAATAAACCAACAAATGATGGAGGAATTAATAATTGACTCCATGTTGGATTCTTAAAACAAAATAACGAGAAAATAAATTTATTATTATTTTAATTAAAATCAATACATTTATTAAAAATGGTCGATCAGTTGGACCAACAGGAACAAATAATGGCGCACCAACTAAAATATTTTAACATAAAAACTTTGAAAAAAAAAATCAATCAAAAAAACCTTGATATGGTGGAATAAAATAAGCTGCTGGAGGTAATGGATATGAAACTAAAATTTCATTTGCTGGTGGACGAATCTAATTAGATTTCAAATAAAAATATTGACTCGAAAAATGAAAATAAACAAACTTGTGGTGAAAAATTATTTAAAGTATAATTTGTTGCTGTCGTAGTTGGGGGTGGTGGTGGTGGTGGAGGTGGTGGCGGTGGAGTTTTTTTACAAACTTCCATCATTTGTACACTTTGTCGAACACTAATAGGAGAAAAAAAATAAAGGAAGATAAATATTTCTCGGTAGTTACTTATTGCAATTTGCATAATCAACAAGATGATCCATAGTAATAAAAGGATGATTAAGTGCTTGTGAAGGTGTTATTCTTTGTGTTTGATCTAGATGAATCATTTTTTTGAGGAGATCAACAAAAAAAAGTCTATCTAATTTTTCCGCTTGTAATTGATTTGAGAGGAAATCTTGTTTGAGATGAATATGTTGAATATCATCAATATTTTTAAAAATAAATTTTCGTGCTTCTTTTGATTTAATTCCCGTTTCTCTTTCATATTGTTCAGGTGTTTTTAATTTCCATTGATAATTATTAAAATAAAAGAATTTCGATGTTTTTTGTCCTTGTTCAAGCATTGATTGATTGGGTAGACCTTGTGTTTGTGATATATATCTTATTTGATCATATTCTGATGATCCAGGATATAATGGCCAACCAAGAAATAATTCAGCCATAACACATCCAAGTGACCACATATCAATGGATTCATTAAATGGTAAGCCAAGAAGAATTTCAATCGCTCTATAATAACGTGATTGAAGATATGTTGATTGAATTGCTTTTTCAACAGGTGATGCACTACCAAAATCAATTAATTTAACTTTAAATGGTTGTCTCCGTGGATCTAATAACATAATATTTTCAGGTTTTGTATCAGCATGTATAAGACCTAATTGTTTTAATTTAGCTAATGCAACACAAACTTGTTGAATAATTGGTCTTATTGATTTTAATGGAAGTGGTGAAAATTTTTGTTGTTTTAAATAATCATAAAGATTTTGTTCTAACATTTCAAAAACAAGACATGTATGATTTTTATGTGTAAATACTTCATATGCTCGTACTAAATTAAATTGATCAGCATTTTCTTGTCCAAGACGTGAAAGAATTGAAACTTCAATTTGTCCTTGACGTGCATATGATGGATGATTTTTTAAGATTTTTATAGCAACAACTTCATTTGTACCTTTTTTCCAACATTTAACAACTTGTCCAAATGTTCCTCGTCCTAAATATTCTAAAACTTCATAAGAATTTGTCATTGAATATAAAACTTCATTTTGAACTAATTGATAATCTCCATCATTTGTTGAATTCGTTGTTTTAACATTAATTGTTTCACAATGTTTTCGTTTTTTTTGATTTGTTGAATTAATATTATTATTATTATTATTATTATTATTATTAGTTGTTGTTGTTGTTGTTGTATTTGATTCAGATGTTGAATTTGAATTTGTATTTGTTGGTGTTTGATCATCAAGTACAAGATGATGATGTATATGATGATGATGAACATGTGTATGGGTAGATGATGAATTATTTTCTCTTTTCATTGTATTATCTATACGACTCTTTTTTTTATCATTATTTAAATCATCATAAGACCAACTATTCCCATTATACATATTTACACACTAACACTATTTCTTCTTCTTCTTCTTCTATTACATTAACCATATAGACATGTAGAAGAGAAGAAAAAAAAATAAATAATAAATAAAAGAAAATCATCCGAGTGACATCTATGTTATGATTTAATGATTGGTTTAAAATTTCATTTGACCTTATAGTTAATAATCAATCAATGAAAAAAAAACGTTGTTGATTTAGAGTGAAGAAAAAAAATGTCAATTGAAGGTGGAATACATGTTGGAAATAAAACTGATTTAGAATTCTATACAGTTGAAGTTGGTGATACAACATTTCGTATTTTAAGACGTTATGTTAATCTTCGTCCAATTGGAAGTGGTGCACAAGGTTTTGTTTGTGCAGCATTAGATTTAATAACACAAACAAATGTTGCAATTAAAAAATTATCAAGACCATTTCAAAATGTTACACATGCTAAAAGAGCTTTTAGAGAATTTTCTATTCTCAAATTAGTTAATCATAAAAATGTAAGATTTCTTATTTTATTTTAATTTAATTTAATTTTTATTTAAAAAAAAAGATCATTTCATTATTAAATGCATTTACACCATCATCACGTATGGATGAATTTAATGATGTTTATATCATAATGGAATTAATGGATGCAAATCTTTGTCAAGTTATTCAAATGGATTTAGATCATGAAAGAATATCTTATCTTCTTTATCAAATATTATGTGGAATAAAACATCTTCATTCAGCTGGAATTATACATAGAGATTTAAAACCTTCAAATATTGTTGTTAGATCCGATTGTACATTAAAAATTCTTGATTTTGGTTTAGCAAGAACAGCTGGAACATCATTTATGATGACACCATATGTTGTTACAAGATATTATAGAGCACCTGAAGTTATTCTTGGAATGGGTTATAAAGAGAATGGTCTCTTTTCTTTCTCCCTTCTCCTTTTACTTAATCTATTTCTCTTTTAGTTGATATCTGGTCTGTTGGATGTATTTTTGGAGAAATGATACGTGGTCAAGTTATATTTCCTGGATCAGATCGTAAAGATTCCAAAGAAATATTTTCTTTCGTTTTATTTTATTTTATTTTTCTAATTTAAAAAAGATATTGATCAATGGAATAAAATTATTGAACAATTAGGAACACCAGCAAAAGAATTTCTAAGTCGTTTACAACCAACTGTTAGAAATTATGTCGAAAATCGACCTAAATACTCAGGTTATTCACTTGATAAATTATTTCCAGATCAATTATTTCCACCTGATTCCGAACAAAGCAAATTAACAGGTTTTACTTTCTTTTATTTTACATTAAAATTAAATGAAATAATTATTTTAATTTAGCTTCATTAGCTCGTGATCTTCTTGGTCGAATGTTAATTATTGATCCAGATAAACGAATGTCTGTTGATGAAGCACTTAATCATCCATATATTAATGTTTGGTTTGAAGAATCAGAAGTACATGCTGTAAGTTTACTTAAATTTTATGTCTATTTAAAAATAAACAAATATTTTAGCCTGCACCTGGCATATATAATCATTTAGTTGATGAAAGAGAATATACAGTTGATCAATGGAGAGAATTAATATTTCATGAAGTTGTTCAATATGAATATGAACAAATAAAAATATCTACAAATGGAGGAGGAGGAGGAGGAGATAAACAATTAAATAATCAATCAATGGATCAAGCCATGGAAAATTAAATTTTCATTTATTTATTTCTATCTCTATTTATTATGAAATCTAACAAATAAAGGGAATAAAACAAATATTGGCATTAAAAAAAAAAATAAAGAAATTATTAATTATTGTATTGTTCGTTAAATGTTTATATTGTTTTTCTTTTGTGTTGGTGATAATCGAGACTATCTTTTAAATAAATATTTTATTCAAATTAGCTTTTTCGATTTTTTAATATTTTCAAATTGAACAATTATTGTTTGTAATGTATCAGTGAAGATTGATTTAATCGATATTATATTTAAAGTTTGCGTGACTAGAAACAATCAATTCATAAATATTTACTCAACTAGGAATTAGAAGAACTATTTTATTTTATTTTTATGCATCATTTATGATCATCACAAATTTCATTTCATCGTTATACCTCATCATTAATTTCACAATTTTAACAACCTCGTTTTTCTTTCTAATCATTCATATATTCAAATAAACGTATGGCAACTCAATAATATCAAAGCTTTTCCCATAGGTCTACGTAGAAAAATAAAAGAGAGAAGTATTTAATATATCTTCTACAATCATCAATTGAATATTAATATATGTTAATGAAATAAAAGTATACAACAACAGTTAGTTTTATTTGACAATAATATAAAGGTCACAAAAACAAAAATACTAGACATCAATGACAATAATGATGAGAGTAAACATACTTTTACCGTCAAATGCATTTATTTAATAAACAATGAATATTTATCTGATTCTTCTTCAACATCTTTCATATTTTTAATTGATACAAATAATATATTCACTGTCTATGTCGCCATGTGTAATCAAAACTATTGAAATTATTCTTCAATAATAATACTATCTTCATTTCCTACATCGTTTAATTAGACTTAAAGAACAATATTAACAATCTCATAACTTATCAGTTTTTCGTGAATGAAAACAAAATTCGTAAACTTATTCGCAAAACTTTTAGATGAGAATAAAGTGTTAATTGTAGTTTTCTGTTAATGATTATCTTAGGATATATGACGTAATTGATCGATTAAATGGTAAGATATTTATTTGTATTAAATATGTAAGTTAATAATGTGTGATATTATATGATGAAAAGTCTTTCAAAGAATATTTTCTCTCTATTGATAAGATCCAGTGATATGATAAATATTTGAACAAATTCAATCAATATTCATATCGGATTTTTACTTTTAACAAACATCAAAATAATATTTATCATTTATTCAAAATTCTCAAAGAAATATTTGTTTAAGTTAAAAGAAAATTGATGATGTAAAAATATTTGATTACACATAGGGAGAGAAAAGGGGGTGTAGTTATGAATGTGATTCAATGCGTAAAGAAAGTCTATATGATACGGCATGAATGAGATGTTTAAATCTATTGTGTCCGGTTTCTAATAAAATGGAGTGTGTGTGTATGTATATGATTTGAATATGAGCGTAAACATACCGTATTCGAATTGTATGTGATAACCATTATAAATCATATGTGAGAAAATATAATTGAAAAAAGTGTTCATTCATTCATTCATTTAATATAATATCTATGATTGATATGAATAGATAATCAATACTTTTTCTTTTTCTTTTTCTCCTTTTTGTTTTATAATCATATCACATAACTATTTTTAACATTCGTTTTTTTTTTTATTTTAAACAATTATTTTAATCTTTACATTTTGTTGTTTCTATAATTTGTATAGAATGAAATGAAAAAGAAAGAGAAAAGGGATGTAATTTAATTAAAAATGTAATTGTTAAGCTAACTTAAATTTATTTTCGATTGAAGCTGTTTTATAAAGAAGAAACACACTTGAATGACAAAAACAAAAAAAAGAAGACAAGACAAGGAAAAGAAGAAGAAGAAGAAGAAGAAGAAGAAGAAGAAAAAGGAGAGAGATAATAATAATAAATGTTTCTAAATTGAGAAATGAATAATTATGAAGCATAAACAGTTTTTTGTATATGTGTTGCTTTTTCTTCATTTTGTTCATTTAAAAGACGTGTAACAACACTAACACCAACACCCCATGAATCATGTGTTGGTAAAACAAGATCATAAGGCGATCTTTCTTTTCCTTGTCCTCGTGCATGAATTTTAACATATTTTCCTGATGATAATTTAAAACCTGATGGAAGTGAATAAGTTATTTCAGGTGAATTATCAACTTTTCTTAAAAGACGCCAACCAGTTAAATCGATATCTTTATTTTTTGATGTATTCGCCAATTGAATAAATTTACCATCAGGTGAGCATTCATCAATATTAATTGGTCCTAAATTAAATTTAATTTAAATTAGAGAAAGAAAATATTTTTTCTTAAAGACGAACCTTTAGCAGATCTTTGAAAAGTAGTTTTGGCTTGCATTTCAGTTTGATTAATAATTTTTTCATTTGGAATAGGTGGAATTGGTTTTTGAATGGGTGGTGAAGGAATATCTGGTTGAATTCGTGGAACATTTGTTGATACATGAGTTGTTGTTTCACGAATATGTGTTGATATTGATCCAGATGTTGTTGTTGTTGATGCAACTTTTTTTACATGAGCTTCTTCTGATTCGAGTAAACGACGATATGTATTGATTTCAAATTCAAGTGAAGATTTATTTGAGACAATTTCATCATATGAAGCCATTAAATCATTTAAACGAGAACGAAGTTCTAAGATTTCTCGTTCTCGTGTATCAATAACATCACCATTTTCTATGATAAAAACGAAAGAAAAATATTTTGTTTATTTTGTTTATTTTGATAGAAAAGAAAGATCAAACCTCGTTTAAGTGTTTCAAGTTTTGATTCTAATTCACTCATTGATTGTAAATAATTATTATAATCTTGTTGTAAATCAAACATTTCTTTTTTCGTTTCATTAATTGAGATTCTAATTTGATTTGAATTTTCTTGATTTGATAATTGATTAGTTTGTTGTTGTTTTTGTTTTTGTGCTTGTTGAATAATTTCATCTGTTTTTATTCGATAATATTCTTCTAATTCACTTCGTTGTGAACGTGAAAGATTTTCAAAATCATTTCTTATTTCTCTAATAGCTCTTTGTAATTCATTTTTATAAAAAGTAGTTGGATCAATACCAATATTCGGTGAAGATAAATTTCTTAATTCATTCATTTCTTGTTCATGAATAGCTGAAAGAAAAGGTATTTGTTCTTCAAGTGTTTGTTTTTCATTTTCAATTTTAATTCTAGCCATTGTTTCTTGATCTAATTCAATTAATAAACGTGAGATTTCTTCATATAAATGTTTCATTTCATTTCGATATTTTTCAATATCACTCATTGAATCGCCCATTAAACGTTGAAGATGTTCTAATTCTCTTTGATTTTCTTCAAGTGTTGATTGAAGTGAATTAATTTTCGATTTATCTTGATTTGTCCATTGACTAATATCATCAGCTAATTTTTTATAATAAAGTAAATCAAATTCACCACGTTTAGCACGTATTTCAGCTTTGGCTTTTTCAACAGTTGCTAAATCAATTTTTTTTCTTAAATCATTTAATTGTGGTTCATATTGAGATTTAAATCGATCAGAATCTAAACCCCATTTTGATCTTAATTGATCTAATGTATTTTGTAATTGTTTATTTGTTTGTTCTAAATATTTAACCCGATCAAGATAACTTGAAAATCGATCATTTAATTGAATTAATTCTTGTTTTTCATGATCACGTTGTTCTCTCATTAATGCTAATGCTTCACCTTTTCCATGATTATCTGAGACTTGACGAATACCATGTTCAACTGTACGACGTATTGTTCGACTTGTCATTTTTTATTTCTAAATTAAATATTTCAGAAATAACAAATTAGATTTTCTTTTCTTTTCGAGAAAGAAAGAAAGAGAATTGAATACCTGATTAGAAAATAAAAAAGAAAGAATTCGTTAGTCGACAATAGTTTGACTACTAAATTGCGAACAAGTAATGAGAACAAACGTGCTTGTGCTTGTCCCCAGTTTATATCTCAGTAGTTGTTCTTCGCCCTCGTCAATAATGAAAGAGAAACGAACAAGAAGAAGAAGAAGAAGAAGAAGAGAAGAAGAGAAGGAAAAAAACTGGACTAGGTAAATAATGTCGATATGGAAAGAAAGAGAACGACCGATGAGAGAAACAATTTGTGGCTTTTTCTTCTTCTTTTTTTTTTTTCATCTCGTCTCTTTTTCTTCATTCGAATGTAAATGTTAGCAACCATTATTTCTTTTTCTCTTTCTCTCTCTCTCGTTCTACTTTTACTATAGTTGTGTGGTTGTGTGGTTGAAACAACATCAGTTGTTTTACCCTTTATAAACATATATTTAACATCCAATCAGATTTTATCATCGCACATTCTTCTCGTCTCATCTTGTACATATCTTTTTTCTTTCTTTCTTTCTTCCTTTAACAATAAGAATCTTTTACAATATTAACTATTTACTCATCTGTTTTTTACAATTTTGAAAAAATAATTTCCTGATTTTCCCTAAATTTTTCTTAAATTAATCTTAATAAAAAAAGAAAAAGAAAATTCTATTAATATCGATAAAATGAACTTCTATTTTTTGAATATATGCTTAAATAAAAGTAAATTTCGAAAAAGTACAATTATTATTTAAACGAATTTTGTTTTGAAAATATTTGTTTTTCTAATTCATATTAAAAACAATTCTAAAGAAAAAGAAAACATTTGAATAAATTTTCGTTTTTTTTATTTATTTTCTTTTTTAAAAGATTCGATTGATTTGAAAATTGAATAAAATAAGTAATTCTTGTTTGATTTTATTCTCTCAAGGCTATGAAAAGATTTTATTTAATTTATTACGAATAAATAAAAGACGAAGTAAAGAGAAATAATATTTAATAAAGAAAATGTAAATGTCGATTTGTATTGAATAAAATGTTAAATTTATTCAGGTGAAATAATAAATGTTGATCTTATAGAATAAAATTCCTAATCTTACCCTTACACGATATTATAAGATGCAACAGGTGGATGTGATTTTGTCAAGAGTAACAACTTGTGTTCGTTGGTTGAACTCTTTTAGTGAATAAGGATTTTTTTTCTGTCGATCAATCGATCTTACTTAACTGTCGTGTTTCTCCCTCTGTCCCTCTCTCTCTCTCTCACTCTCTCAGTCTCCCTCTTCTTTTTTGCTTTTTCTCTATGTCTTTCTCTTTCTGTACGTTACTCTCTTATTCATTGCCTATTATTTGCACATCACTCACACACACACACACACACACTGCGAGAGTATAGAATATGCCCTATACGTTTGCCCGTCACCCCATTTTTTATTATTCATAGATTTGAATCTTATTCATGCTTTTATTATTTACAATTAAATTATTGAAAAAAGATAAACTTAACAAAATCATTTCGTTTTTTATTATGTTGAAAATAAATCTATTAAATAGATTTCGAAATCATGAGATTTTTATTTCAAATCTAATAAAACAATTAAGAAAATAATTGAGAAAAAAAACCAAATCTCACACGAAATAAATTCGAAAGGAAAGAAGAAAAAGAAAAAGATTATATTATGTTAAAACCATAGTAATGTTTAATGTAAATTAGATTGATTGAAATCTTTTAAAGTAAAAAAGAATATTTTCAAATAATTATTCTTATGTCATATGTCTAGACATATATTAACTAACTTACAAAACATTTCAAATTACTTATTTAACATTTTAATAATAATATTATCAAATTATCGATTATCTTTATCTTTATTTTTTATTTCTTTAAAGTTAACAAGACGAGATTTTAATTTCATCAAACTATTGTTTTATTAATCTATTTGAAATATAAATAATGTTGTTATTAGATGAGATGAGAGTATTGTTTTAAAAAGAAGAAATCTTTTAAATGAAAAACAATACAAAAGAATTAAATTGATTTGGATTATTTGAAAGGTTTTTAAGTATTTGAAATAAAATAAAGAGAAGAAATCTATTCAACGCATATTTAAATCAATTAAACGAAATCTTTAAAGTTCAAATACAAATATTTAGTTATTTTACGACACATTTTACAAATTAAAATAAACTTTACTTTCTTTCTTATTTTCAAATATTAACAACTATTTTATTCGCATCTTTTAAAGTACAAATCATTTCAATATGACTTCATCATAAAATATTCGAATAAAATAAATTCTTTTCATATACAAAATAAGAAGAGAAAAAAAAACGTTTTTCCAAAATTTGAGCAAATGAAATGTTGATTAATATGTGAGTGTGAGTGTGAATATGAAGAAGAATGTATAGATGTTAATGTTATGGTATGTAGGTGATGACATATTCAATGTGTTCACCAATATATATAATTACAATTACACAATAAAAAACGTCTACATAAATTTTGTTACATTGACTGAGACATTGAACGTAAATATACCTTTACTATTCTCCACTGGGGGTTTATTTCAAACACATATCAACACGTTTTCGTACTATAAAATATTCTATTTCTTTAATCTACTCACCATTTCTGTGTACGCAAAAAGTGAATACACTCTACAATCGATCAGTGGGTTCGGCCGTCCGCCCGTATACAGGATAACTTTCGAAAGGAGGGTCAGATTTTGATGAAATTTTCTACACAATTCCGTCTTATCAAGATCTCGGTCGAGTTATTCCATATACACTTTGTGCATTACACACAACTCTAGGATAAAATTTCCGCATTTATTATTATTTTATTTAGAAATAAAACCTGTGAGACAAAAAGATTTTTAGAAAATAATTCAATCTAAACTAATCTATTTCATTATTCAAAATAATTCGAAAATTCTTTTTTTTCTTCTTAAAATAATAAATAAGAAGAATAATCTCTGGTGAAAATCTTAGATTTTCTTTTCTAATTCTATAAAATAATAATTATCTTGTGGAATAGACTGAACAAATAAATGATTTGAATTTGGAAAGAAAAAAAGTAAAATATTTAGTTTCAAGTAGATGGATTACTTCTATCTAAATATGTTAGGAAATTTGATAATATTATGTAAGAATATTTTATTTGTATTAATGAGGATGGGTGTGATGAGAGATATAGAATCTAACACTAACATAAATATTATTATAATAAAAAGAAGAGAAACTCTTTTCGACATAGATAAATCAACAATTTAGCTTTTTAATTAGATTGATTTTCTTAGGAATATTTAAATAAAAAAATCTTACTTTTAATATTGATCTTGATCAAGGATATCGAATTAATGAAGAATAATTATGACGAAAACAATCTCTCTCTCTCTCCTTGTCCTTCTATTGTTATTGATTGATTGAATAATAATAGTTAAATTGATTTGTTTATTTTGAATTCGAATTAATAAAAAGAAAAGAAATTATTTTGGAAATATTAAAGAAATTTATTCTAAAAAGAAATTTAAATGAAAAAAAAGAAAATAAAATAAAATAGCGACATCTAATATTTGAAAAAAAGAAGAGAATGATAATATATTTGTATAGAGGATAATCGTTGAATTGAATTTCGAAATGTCTATTGAAGAAAAAAAATTTTGTGGTCGTTTCTACAATAAAAGTAAATTGTAATCGTTTGGTTTATCTAAAAAATGTCAAATAATTGTTGTCGACGATGTCTTCGAGGTATTTCACGTCGTATTCCTTGTTTTGTTGCATGGAGTTTATTAATTGTGTTATCAACAATTTATTTTATATTTATTTGTCCATGGATAACAAATCATTTATGGAAATATATTCCACTTATTCAAGGTCTTATTCTATTATTTGTTATTGAAAATTTTTTCTTAGCAACATTTACGGATCCTGGAAGATATAGTAGAGCTCCACCTGATGAAAATGATGATTCAGAAACAACATTTCATAAAACAGGTGAACTTTTCTTTCAATACAAAAATAAATAAATCGTCTTTTTGTTTTCTTTTAGTTGAAATTCATGGGACACAATGTCGAATGAAATGGTGTCAAACATGTGGCTTTTATCGTCCACCAAGATGTTCTCATTGTTCTGTATGTGACTTTTGTATTGATGTAAGATTTTCTCTATCTTTTTCTGTCGTTTTAATAAAATTCATTTATGATTTTTAGACATTTGATCATCATTGTCCTTGGTTAAATAATTGTGTTGGTAAGGAGAATTTCATTTTTCCACGTATTTATTGTTAATTCATAATAAAAAAGTGATGAATTTATTTAGGTCGTCGAAATTATCGGTATTTTATATGTTTTTTATTAAGTGTATTATTTCATATGTATGTGGTGATATCATTTTGTATATATTATTTATTAAAAAATCATGAAAATCTTTCAAATTTAAATACAATTATATCAATAATATTAATTATATTTATTATATTATTAACAATTCCAATTGGTGGTTTAACTGCTTTTCATTTTATGTTAATTATTAGAGGAAGAACAACTAATGAACAAGTCACAGGAAAATTTAAATCAAATATTAATCCAGTTAAATCAATTCTTTCTCTCTCTTTTCTTTCTTTTAATCTAAAATTTCTTGTTTATTTAGTTTGATTATGGATGTTTGTATAATTGCTCAAAAATATTTTCATCGTCAAATTCACCAAAGTAACGAAAATTTGATTTAAAAATCAAACTAAATATCTCTTTCTCGTCTAATTTCAGATTAATTCATAATAAAAAACCTTCAACTAAAAAATCTTATGAAGTTCAAAAAGTTAAAAATAAAAATGGAACAAATAAAGTAATTAATTAAATCTTGTTTTTAAAAAGAAAAAACAAATCGTTTTTTTAGACGAAACATATATCGATGACTTCAGTATAGAATGAT